TAGATAAATGATTATAATGGTAAATTGATAAGTGAGAAGTGTATAGATGAACTCACTAGAAAAATTACTGAAGAAATAGAATAAAGGCAATTGTAAAAATATTAAGAGAATAATATTAAGAAATTATGTCTTTTATGTTTCAAGATAAATTTTTTTTTAATAAAAACAATTGAAAATAGAAAAAAAAAAGGGTAAAAAAAGATATATAATGACAAATTGAGATGCTAGAAATGTCTAAGAAATAATGATAAAGATTTGAGTATAATGAAAGAAAGAGCAATATTTAGGGCAAAGGAATAGATAAAATAATATAAAATGTTAAGGGAAAAACTAAGAGATAGAGTCTCAACTGAACTTAATGATAGATGAAATAAGTGATTAAGAAAGAATAATATAGAAGGAAAAATAAGGCAAGCTATGCCTTCTATATTTTAACATAAAACATTCCCATATAGAGAATGACAAAGAGAAAAAAATTGGATAAAAAAGAGGAGAACCTTGTTTTACAGTTCAAATTGTATTAGATTGTATAATAAAAACCATTAGATGGGAAGGGTTCAACATTTATCTAATAGATAGTGTCATACAATCCGATACAATCTAGACCATATAGCACTTTTTTTAAAAAAAATAATATATAATGATGTATTGAGATCATCTTAAGGAATTACTAAGATAGAATAATAGAGGGGGAATGATGAAAGGAAAAAGAATAATAAAAAATAAACTTATAATCTATAGAGGTACAGAAAAGGCAAACATAAAGTAGAAATAAATGAAATGATAAAATACTAAGTGAGAAACTGAGAGATAAGTTGCAAGAAAAATTAAAAATGAGGGAAGTTGAGTAAGAATTACTGGAAAAGAATTAGAAAATAATGTTCATAAGTTGTGTCACATATGTTTTGCCTATATTTCTAATATAGACAATGAGAGATGGGGGAGGGGGGAAGAAGGTAGAAAAGAAAGATAAAATGATAAATGGAGATGTAGGGAATGACTAAGAAAAAATAAAATAGAAAGAAAGATAAAGGAGATGAAAGATTAATAATAAACAAATTATTAATATAAAGAGGGAAAGAAAAGGGAATGTACTATAGAGAGCTTAGGGATAGAGTTCGAAGAAATATAATGGTAGGAGCAGAGTAAAGACAATTGAATAATACTAACAAGTTGCATCTTTTATGTTTTAACATAAAATTTTTTAAATAAAAATACGTTGAAATGGAAAATAGTAAAAAATAAAAATATTTAATAATCAACTGAGATACATAAAATGTCTAAAAAAGAATAATAGAGATGGAAGTATAATAATAAAAAGAATAATATGTAAGAAATAAATGAAATGATATAAAATATGAAGGGAAAACTGAAAGATAGAGTCTCAATAAAAATTAATGAGAAGTGGACTGAAAGTGAGTGAAAAATTAAATATTAAGAGAATGATTCTAATAGGTCATGACTCTTATATTTTGACTTGAAAGCATTTTTAATATATATATAAAGAGAAAGGAAGATAAATTGGGTTAAAAATGGATACATACACAATGAATGACCAAAAAAGAACAATAAGGATGGGATGATAAGAGATAACGAATAATAAAGAATAAATTACTAATATAGAAATGATTTACGAAGATAATATGAGAGAATAAAAATGAAATGGTTACAAAAATAATAGAAATGTAAAATAATGTAAAATAAATATCAATTTAGGAAAGTAAAATGAGGAGAGATACATGCATTAAGTTAAGCTTGAATTAAATAGCATAATAATAACATAAGTGCAACATGATATTGAAACAAACTAGAGAATTGAAAGAACCTCAAAGAAAATGATAGGGAGATATATAGTTTTAATGTAAGAATTAAGAAAAATATAATATGTGAAAAGATATGGATAAGAGGTAATTAGGAGGAAATGATAAGGGAGAGAGAATAACATTAAACAATTTATTACCCCCTTTGTTTTTTAACTTTGATATACTTTTTATGATAGAATAATTAATTAAAATAAATTGATAATAATAAGGTTAAACAAGGAAAAAAATATTTATCTATCAAAAAAATTGAAAAAAATGATAATTAATTTGGGATAAACTCAAAGTTAAAAAATGACAATTATTTTGAGACAAAAGGAGTAATATAAAAAAACTAGATAGAGAAAATATAAAAACTTGTCTTTATTTTTAAAAATTAAATTGATTAGAATTGTATGCTTAAATCTTCTTTTATATATATATATATATATATATCCATCATTCACTCTTTTCTTTATGAATTAATACATTTAAAATTATCAAATATTAAAAAAATAATTTAAAATGTATTTATAGTTAATTATCATCATAAAAATTTATAATTAATATATTTTTTTAAAATATAGATGAATCGCGCAAAGTACAGTTTGAAGATCTAGTTATTATTAACAACTCTAAACTATATTAAAAAGTCCAAATTATTTTAAAATATAAAATAAAAACGATCCAAAATAGAGCTAATGATATTTTCTATAAATGCCAAGGAATGAATTTTGTTTATCTTGGAGTGGGTAGATCCGTTCTACAAATATAAGCTTCAATCAACAAAGGTACGTCTTACGTGCCCTCCGAATCTACAATCCATTCCTTGTTAGATTAGTTTGTCTGTCTGCTGCAGCTTAATTAAGAATCAGGACATTGATACACTCACCCCTAGATCGGCACCTTTTCTTACACACTATTTATAAAAATAATATTTTATAATTTTAAATTATTTACAAGCAACTTAAATTGATTGCCAAATATACTCCTTTGAGCAATGCTAAGGACAACCGTTCACAAACACTTGCTTAGTTAATCGCTTTCTTGAGCTTCCACGTTATCATAATTTTGAGATAATTGAAACCTCAAACTGGTAACTATGGAAAATTCCATTAATCAGCACTTTTTTTACTACCGTATAAAATAGCTTGTCTCTCGCTTCGTAAATTCTCTTTCCTCTCATTCTTATGTTTGTTTTGAAAACTATAGCTAACTCGCTGGTGAGTGGAAACCGTGTCACCAACTTCATCCTTTCTATTCGACAGTGGATCCTTCGACAGTGACTAGTGAGGTAACAGGAACTTAGCTTCACCATCACCCTCAACCAAACTAGAAGTTAATGGAAAAGGAAGAAAATGCCACAGGAAAGAGGATGGGAATGTCCGCTCCAAGCCTGGAACAATTAGTCGCTTGAGCTCTCAATTAATTATCTATAAGGAAAGGAAAGGATAAAAAGGAATAAATCTATAAATACATTACGGTGGATGAGAAATTTAGAGAGGAGATTTGATTAGGAGGAATGATTTTTAGATTTTAAAAATGAAATTTCTAATTGGCAATGATGTTTCATTAATTTTTGAGGGGTTTGCCTATTCAGAGAGATTATACTCCAAAATCTTCATTGCAATTTGGTTTTAAGAACAAGTATCTTTTTCTTTCTCTGAATAGCACTGATCCACCCTTGCGATTTAAAAATTCTCCAAATCTTTGTGCTCTTGATCTTATCTTCTAGGAGCTTTCTCTTTGGGTATTTTGGAATATTGGGATAGAAAAACAAAGATCATATCTTGAATCTTGATGCATTTCTCATAGCTTGTGCACGGAAATGGATCTAAAAAAGCCCTAGAAAAAAGGTCGAAAGGACAAAACAAAAAGTAAATAAATTATATAAACTGAACCGGTTGCTCTTCGGTGTCCATTTAAGAGTCAAAGTTTTCAAGAGGGCGTTAAAAGCAAGTGCCCTTAGCATTGCTTATCTAGAAAAGATACGGGAATCATCTCATGTATTCATCTTCTTTCATGTCCATCTTCTTTTTTGATTTATCTTCTTCTCTAATTTACATAAATTTCTTAATAACAATGAAAATTTTTCTTATCATCCTAAAATTTTTTTAGGAATCAAACATATTTTACAAAGGAAAATTTTCTTTCCACCCCCAATTTTCTTAACAACTAAACAACACACCATATTAATTATCAAATTGGTAAAAACTCTAATAAAAAATTATAAAAATTCATTATTTTCTTCCTCTTTCTTTCTCCTACTCTTTGCTTTGTCATCCTCCTCTAAGTTTGAGAACCCAAATCTAGAATTTCCTTGAAAACCCATGGCTTCTCTAAGAAAACCCAGATCTAGGTTCTCGAAGAAAACCCACAGGTTCTATTAGAGAACGTGGTTTTGGGTTCTCCTCCAACAAATCAAGGAGGGAGGAATAGAAGAAAAAAGAGGGGAGGAGAGGGAAAGAAGAAGAAAAAGAAAGAGAAAAACAAAGGAGGAGGGAAAAGAATGAAGAATGTTGAAAATCAAAGAACCAATACTGTATGAAGAGGAGGGCTGCCCAGATCTACACAGTAGAAAACTCACGAGAAGAGATGTGGGAGGAGACAGGCAGAGAAATGTTGACGAAGGAAGAGAGAGAAAGTGGGGAGACGAGGAAAATGAGTGGAATCTAAAGAAATTTAATGTTGAAAATTGCATTCAATAGGCTTACTATGGATAAATGAGGGATAAGTCTTTAATAGGAAAATATTGTGTTTTAATCTTTAAATCGCCAGTGTGCAAGGGAGGGTGCTAGTTTGGTGGGTAAGTGTATCATTTCCCTAGGAATCATGGATGCTAATTCGGTTCAGCCAATTCCATATGTAAGTTTGGTTAATCTTTTCTACATGTAGATACCCTTGTATCCACGAATCCTATAAGTGCGTAGACATTATTCTTAGTTAATATTCTAACCAAAATGAGATGATCACCTGTTCCGATGAACTTCATTTAACAAGAATTCTATTGCTTAATTTCCTTGTTGTTTTTCTGTTTGTGGAAAAAAATAGTTATATATTGGATGAGAGATTTATTTACATGTAAATTTTATATTCAACACTTACATAAAATCTCAACATTTATTTCATTACTTTTAATAGTTAAGATTTGTTATGATTTTTTAGATAAAGAAATAATTATATTTAATAAACATAAATAAATTTTAACTATTGAAAATTGAGAAATAATTAATTAAGATTTTATATAAATGTGATGTGTAAAATTTATATATAAATAAATTCTTACTATATTTATACATATATAAAATAGATCTCAAGCCC